CTTAATACATATTTAAAAAATTATGAATATTAGAAGGTACTTTAACAAGTTAAGTTGAAGGGCTGTTTATCCTGCCTGACGGGCCATGGTCTTAACAACCGCATTAACATCATTTTATTGGGTATGCAAATATGCATCATACGCCCTGTTGTGCGCAATCCAATGCAGCTCAACTCGCAGAGATAATACAGTGCGCAAAAAGCGCGTGTTTTATTTCCACTTAGCACACACACATACACACACAGAGGGAGACACACAAGAACGCATACACGAACCACACTCACATTGAATGCATGTTGACGCCTGTTTTAAAAAAATTGTCTTCTTTCCTCTGGCTGTCTCACTCACTCATGCCACGCACACACTGAAACAATAACAACGACAGCGGCAACAAAAGCGCATAGGCATCGGAAATGTTGCCGTTGAAACTGAAATGTCGCTACGCCTGCTTCTCGCTGGTCTGTCGTCCACGTGGACGTCCTCGTGGTCGTGGTTGCTGCTATACTACGCCCATGTAAACGGTTCGCTGCTCTGCCCGAGCAGAGAGTTGTTTGAATTACGATATTGTTGTTATTAAATGGATGCATGACGCAGGAGCAGCGGCAGGGTTTGCTGCATCTGTTTGATAGTTCATTCAAAGCATCATTTAATGCTTCGCACTCATACTAATGTGTGTGCGTGTGTGTGGGGTGCGCCACACGCTTGCCGTATGTATATATTAAGCGACATCGTGTCAAGGCACAAATCAAGTGCTGCTGACGAAACGACATTTAACATGCAGCTCAATTTAATTTGCCCCGGCAATGGCATCTCCATGAAAAGCACAACACGCGACACTCACGTACACACCCACCCACACACACACACACACATACACACTCATACACAGCAATTGCAGTTACAACAGAACCTGCTGCCGCTCGCTGCAACTGTCTGCTGTGGGCGCGTGTTGCATACTTGTAGGCGCACTGCAATTACGTGCCACTGCCACTGCGTTAGGCCTGGCATTGTGTTCGTATGACCTGCAGACATTTGAATCCCATCCAATCGATGGTGACGACGCCCACACCCACGTCCTCCACCAACACAACAGTTGCCCTGTAACTTGGCTGCTCAGCATGGAGCACAATTATGCCCTTGTGCTCCCTCCAAGTGAGTGTGTGTGTGTGTGTGTGTGTGTGTGTGTGTGTGTGTAGTGTAGTGCTTTTTAATTTGCAATATTAAACGCTCAATTGTTGCCCCAAAACATGTAATAACAAGACAACTTGGAAGTCATCAAATTTTCGCAAAAGGTGAGCTCCTACTCAATTGTATAGCGCTCGCCACTTACGTTAATGAAAGCAGGGAGAAAATGTCGTATAAAACAGAGTAGATTGCGTAAAACAACTTATACAAAGTAATATAAATTTTAAAAACATAATATTACAATCAAATTTGGTAATTTGGATAAAAGTAATTATATATTCTTGTAAAAGTATAGATAACCGTGCCGTTCACTGCAATTATTCAGTTTTAATTTCATGCAACTTCGCATTGATCTTTTTTAATCGAAGAGTTAAAACCAATATATTAATGACATTGCCTCTTCGGCTGTGTACTTAAGCACCTCGCATATAACTGCTCTATATACAAATAAATTAATATAAATTTGAAATTAACTTTTGAGCTTATCAAGTTTTCGTATTCCTTTGGTTAAAAATACGTCCCACGCAGTTCTATGTGCTATCTTATTAGCACAAGTAAAAAAAAAACTTCATAATGTGAAGTTCATATTCATATTAAACATATGTTGAGGTGTAACAGCTCGTTATGCAAAACGCTTGTTATGTAACCATTATCAGACACTTAAGAACTTTAACTTGAGCACTGCATGTAAGAGGTTGTTTAGCGGCATCGTATAAGCAAAGTAAATTCAAATGTATTTGCCAATAACTTTTATCCTTTATGGACTGCCACTGTGCCCAAGTTTGCAACATGTAATCGGCCATAAAAAATTACAACTGTGCATTAACCTTTTGCGCTTTGCTGGTCACTAGGGGAAGAATGGAGTGGCTCGAATCGCATCGCATCGCATCGAATCGAATCGAATGGAATCGCATTGAACAGCGAGGACAACAAGGATGCCAGCGTCATCGGGCGCTTATCACTACATGCCATCAAATTTTAATGTCAAACCCCTTTTTGGCCAGGACCTTCGGTGGCTGGGGCAGCGCCTTGGGTCAGCTGCAGCGGGCAACAGCAGCAGCAGCAGCAGCAGCAGCAACATCTAATAAGTGTTGTAAACGATGCAAACATAATAATTTGTAAGACTTTTGAAAGCGGAAACTTGTAATTTTCTCAAACAGCCAACAGAGACTAGCATCCCAGGCCCAAATCCCTGTCTGGGGTCCTCTCTGTGTATGCTGCACATATGCACTAAAATGCAGCACAGAACATTCCAATTCCAGTCAAGCGATTGCCAAAAAACGAAAAGAAAAAAGAAAACCCACAGAAACTGAAGAGCGATGAAGATGAAACCGGCAAGCAAATGTACAGCAGCCAAGTCGAATGGACACTGGATAAATAACTACTGAGTTATAGTGCTGACTCGATGGCTGCTACTTGGCGTCTATACATGCTCTCGAACGCAGAGAGATTTCGAATATCTTCATGGAGCAATCAGAATCAGCAGGCAGGCATCAGCGTGGAGTCAAGCACTGGGCACAAGCACAACACAGCCAACAACACAGCTACAGCAGCACCATTGAATCAAATTTGGAAAATCCTTGACGTCAAAGACAAACAAAGGGCAATAGCAATGCGGTCGGACAGGATGTCTATGGGTTGAAGTAAATGTCCGGCCATGGGGCGTTTGGACTCGTAAATGTGGCAAGTGGTTAAGATTTTTTGTCGTATTCAATTTCCTAGTTTATGGGTTTTATTCTCCAATGTCAGGGTACGTTAACTAGGCCATACTGCTTGCCATGCACCAAGAAGTTACTTTAATAACTCAATTACTTTTCTCTATAACCTCCAGAAGGTTGCAAGGATTTTTCCCTCATTCCTTTGCTGCTTATCTAAGCTTTGCTCTTCGATTGAAGAGCATTCATTATCCGTTCGAAGCAAAAGTGAAAGACATAAGTAACCCTAACTAGATTCTTTAGACTTTCCTTTTTCCGCCAGCGAAAGCTCCTCAGCCTTTGGCCTTTCGCGTAGCGGATGTGGACGCAAAGATGGCCTCGACATTACAAAATACATAGCTAGAAGACTATTTGTAATTTGCATTCATTGACGCCGTTTTTATCGCAGGCTGGAAACAAGCTGTGAAATCTCCATTCGTACGCCACGGTAAATGTGTCAACAGGCAACGACAATGCCGCCTTTCAGCTGGTTGTCCACTAGCCATCCACACATCGACTTACATTCTCACTGAATGTCTGTGTGTGTGTGTGTGTGTGTGTGTGGGCTTCCTGGGAGTGTGTGTATGCATGCTCTTGATATTTCCGACTTTTCACGTACCTTCATCAAGTTGTCATTCAATTTTTAAATCCATAGCAAGTTTTGTACTTAACATAGTTGTGACAAGTTGACAAAAAGTAAGTATGCCTTGGCTGACTTCCATTTAAAACTTGCCACATAGGTTCAACTGCCTTGAAAAAGTCATTTAATAAGTGACGTTTGGAGCGCAAGTGAATCTCTGAATCTCTTCATGGTGCTGAATACTTTAAACGTAACCAGCTCAAGCCCGGCATATCAATATCTTTTCTCATGAATCAGTCCCTGAACTTAACTTTGTAGCCAAAAAGGAACCCTCGTATTTAAAAAATGTGGAATATTGAAAGACCTTCAATTATTTTGATGAATGTTTAATAAATCTGTTATCATAATCATTTTATATAATCAACTAGGGCAATTAATCCACACAAGCCCCTCAGTGCGCTTCTCTCAATTCGTGTTAATTGAAAAACAATTTCAATGGAAATTCAAACGTAATCCCCATATGGTTAAGCATACAAGTAGCACTTGCAGCAGCTAGCATCTAAACCTTTGCTTTCACCTGAATGGAGCATCTTTCAGTGGTCGTCTGTCCTGCATTAATCCCCACGTAATGAGTTGTACGCCATTTTGCGCTAAATTGTTTGGTGAGTGCCTGATAACAATATTTGCACTAATTTGGCATTTTTAAGTGTTCTCCACTGACACTTGATGCGCTTTTAATTGCGCCGAATGCTCGAGTGTACTTTCCTCGAGCCGGAGAGCATGTCTGCTGGCGGGTGGTGTTTGGGTGTCTTGGCTATAGCCATGCCTGTAATTGTGACTGTGACTGTGACTATGTGGTTGGCGGGGATCCCACTTCTTTCTCTGCTGGGCGACTTGTGGGTGTCCTCGTGCGGTTGGCTTGCCAACTTGGCTACGTTGTTGGGACATCGCCTGCCGTCATGTGGCAAGGAATGCAAAAGATAAACGATTCATTAGTTGCCACAATATTTAGCTGACTTTAATGGCAGTGCTCTGCGTAGATGCTTCTATGTACGTATGCGTATGTATATAAATATGTCATCTGCACAATCAATGTTGCCTGCCGCCAACATTTGGCAATTCAAATTTGATTGGCGCCCGCTTTTATTACTATTCAAATTCTATACTTGCAGTACGAGACGCCTGATTGCACCGCTGCCGGCGGCAATATGCGTGCCTTGAGCGGCACCAGTGCCAGTGATTTACTGCAGAAGCATTCGATTAGCTCAATACTGGAACAGCATCAACATCAGCATCAACATCAACAGCAACAACAGCAGCAGCAGGATCTGCTGAGCAGACGTGCCGATGCCAGCGATGGACTTATATCATTCATAAATGGTTTGTTGGAAATATTTTTGGATTGCATCAACTATTTTGATTAATTTGCTTTTTGAGTCAAAGGCATGAACAAAACTGTCATTTGTTTTGATGCTATATAGGTTTTCAATTTCCGATTTAGTATAGTTTGGGTTGCCATAGGAATTATTGTCATGGTGTAGAGTTTCTATTTTGGCTGTAAATTCATTTTAACGTGGCACTGCTGGCATTTTCTTGTCAATATTATTTGGAGTCTTGCAAACGGACGTATAAATTTCAATAGTTTTTTACCTTTTGAAGTCGGCACACAAATATCCTTCGATAGTTAAATTATTATTATTCTTTATTTTGTTTCACGTAGTTTAAACTAGGATCGAAGTTCCTTGTATAAATTGCATTATAAGTGTACACGCCCAATTGCCATTTGCAAAGGAAGCGCAGTAAATTTTCAAGTAATAGTCAAATTTTAAACACCTAAATACCAAATTTTGTGTGTGGAGAGCACGCAACCCGAGCAACAAAGCATTTGAGCATTTCAGCATTCCAGACCATCAGAATATCAAGACACTTGAGACCATGTTGGGAATTGAGGAACTTTATATGAGAAAGACGCCAAGTGCTCTGCCAAGTGGGTCGCCCACGCAGGAGACATTTGAATTTGGCATCAACTATGACGGCAAAGCCATCGGCAATAACACCACCAGCAACAAAACCAGCAGCACCAGCAAATCTTCCAACATCACCATTGACGAGAACCTTGGCATGATGGCAGCTGGTGATGGCGATGGCAGACAGAACTTGGCATACGACAATAACTCGAGCAACAACAATAACGCAAGCCAATGCAATTGCAGTAAGTTGCTCTGTGGGCCCTTTTGGGCTGCCAGTGCCAAAAAGAGTATCGTCGTATCGGGCTGGGCTGCGATTGGATCGAACATAGCATATTTACGCCTAATTTATTAGCAGCATTTTGAATATTTGCAAAACGCTTGAAAGCTCTTCAGCCAGGCCAGGCCAGGCCAACAGAACACAAAATTATGGCAATGGTCAATGTTGCACTTGAGTTTGTAGTTGCTTTAGAGTTAGTTAGTTTGTTTGTTTGTTTGATTTATTGATGGCTGCGCCAAGTTAGCGATAACTGTCATATATATATATACACATATTCATATTCATATTCAAACATATTATAGATATATAGATTTATGTACTTTTGACTTGCCCCACTATATTGCAGATCCAATCACACTGAACGATCTGCTTGGTTTGTGTGGCGGCAGCGGCCCTGCAATCGCAGCCCAGGCAACAACAGCACCAGCCCCAACAAAAGTAGCAACAACGGCAGCAGGCATTGCAAGCGGCGCCGGAGGTAACGGCAGCAGCAGCAGCAGCGGCGTTAATAACTTGCTACTTGGCAATTCGGCGACTGCTGCAGCTGCCGCTGTCGCTGCCACTGGCGATTGCGGTCAATTGTCAGCGACTGCAGTGTCCTATGCACCACTGACACCGAGCTCAACTCAGTCCTCGGCCTCGCCAGGCACCAAGTCAAGTTTTGATTACTTTCAGGTAAGTTTCAAGCGCACAGGTCGGACGCACATGTGCTCTGCTCGTGTGTTTATCTGTATATGTATGTATATGGACATGTATCTTGTATCTTGTATCTTGTAATTGCACCGAATTTGCACCAAACTATTCTCTAACTTTTTTGCTTGTGTCTTTGCGTCTCGCTCGTACTAAACCAACGCTCGTGGACTCTATATATACTAAACGTCTTATGATTTTTGATTTATTTCTATCTTGTGTGTTTCTCTCTCTCTCTCTCTCCCCTCTTTTCCCTTTTATCTCTCTTATTCTGTGTGTGTGTGTAATTTTTTTCAATTTATTTGATTTCTTTTCTTTCTTTTTGGGTGAATTGGCGAACTTAGTTTGAAAATGTTGCACAAAGTAACCCACTTAAGGCTTTCCAAAGATCAAACATCAGCTTCGATTGCTCTGCACCCTTATCGCCAAGTACGCCTTCATCTATTTACAATCGCTCCTTTCACAGTTCACCTTTAGTCAGGTAACGATACGGCACCTATTTGATTTTGGTCAGCCATCGATATACTCACACAATTTCCCGCACTATTTGCAGCGACAGCAGCAATTCCTCCAGCGCCAATGGTTTATCGTTAGATTCGATTAATATGCTTTATCAGCAGCAGAGCTACAGCAACTTGAGCGGCACTAACAGCGGTAATCTCGGACTCAATTTACAAAATGCATCCACGCGATCGAATTCACCGGAGAGTCAGAACAGCAATCAATCCTTCAACGAGCCAAATCTCTTGGATATGATTGTAAATATTGTCCGCTCGAGTCTGAGTTTGGGTCTGATCTTATTTCTTTGCAGAATCTGCTCTCAGTGAACAGCAACAAGCTGGCTTCTTTGCAGCAACAACAGCAGCAGCAGCAACAACATTTTCAACAGCAGCAGCAGCAGCAGCAACATTTGCAGCAACAACAAAAACAGTTACAACAGCAACAGCATCAACAGAAGCAGCTTCAACAGCAGCAGCAACAGCAGCATCAGCAACAGCAACAGCAGCAGCAACAACAACAGCAGCAGCAGCAATTACAACAGCAACAACAACAACAACAGGCTCAACATCATCATCAGCAGCAGCAGCAACAACAACAGCAGCAGCAGCAATTTGCCAACATTAATCGAAACTATGAGTCGCAGCTGTTAAGTGGATCGCAACAAAATTTTGATTTGAGCAACAACGATTGCCTGAATCAATGTAGTCTAGATAACTTTTCCATTGTGGACATGGAGCTGGCAAAGCTGCAGAATCTGCAGCGCATCAATACGCTCAAATTGCTGCAAGCACAAACGCAGCAAATGCCGTTGCTTAATCAACTGCTACAAAGCTATGCAAGCAATTTGCCTACTGCCGGCAGCTCAAACAGTCTGAATAACACTTCAAGTGCTAGCTTGGGCAATCTAGTGGGTGGTACTGGCAGCACTGTGGGTGTAGCACCAAGTTCTATTGGCAGTAATAGTGATTGGCATCTGGATCGTGTCGCCAAGTTTTATAAGAACTCGGCCGCAATATGTGAAGCAACATGTACTTGGAGTGGCCAACTGCCGCCACGTTCGCATCGCATGTTGAACTATTCGCCTAAAGTGTTTTTGGGCGGTATACCGTGGGATATCAGTGAGCAATCATTAATACAGATCTTTAAACCCTTTGGCTCAATTAAGTAAGTCCAAATAAATTTACGTAAGTGCATCATTAAAGCATTCATATTTGCAGAGTGGAATGGCCCGGCAAGGAACAGCAGGCTGCACAACCCAAAGGATATGTGTACATCATTTTCGAATCTGATAAACAGGTGAAAGCCTTGCTCTCAGCTTGCGTATTGCAAGTTGATGATTCGCATAGTGGCAGCAACTATTTCTTTAAGATTTCCTCTCGGCGCATCAAATCCAAAGATGTAAGTCGGCCGTAAAGAAGTGCTCATTATAACTAATAATCCTTTTCCATTCAGGTGGAAGTAATACCCTGGATTATAGCCGATTCCAACTATGTACGCTCCAGTTCCCAAAAACTGGATCCCACTAAAACGGTTTTCGTGGGTGCCTTGCATGGAAAACTAACTGCCGAGGGCTTGGCAACAATAATGGAGGATCTATTTGATGGTGTGCTTTATGCTGGCATTGACACGGATAAATACAAATACCCAATTGGCTCCGGACGAGTTACTTTCAGCAACTTTCGTTCGTATATGAAAGCTGTATCGGCTGCCTTCATTGAAATTCGCACCACCAAATTTACAAAGAAAGTTCAGGTGGATCCATATCTGGAAGATGCTTTATGTTCAATTTGTGGCGTCCAGCACGGGCCTTACTATTGTCGTGAATTGTCTTGTTTTCGGTATGTTTGAGCCAACAAAATAAGAATCCTGTTAACTAAAGTTCATGTATATGTTGCAGTTACTTTTGCCGCAGCTGTTGGCAATGGCAACACAGCTGTGAGATTATTAAGAATCACAAGCCATTGACACGTAACTCAAAGTCGCAAACATTGGTGGGCATTGGGCCTTCGACGTCTTCCTCCACGATTTCGTTGACGTCCTCGGGTAACCGAATGAATATGGATCAGAAACTGCAGCAACATGGTCATCATAATAACCAGCAGCAGCAGCAACCTCAACAGCAACAGCAGCAGCAGCAACAAAAACGTATTCAGCTCCAGCAACATGCCAATCAGCAGGCAAACAACTTAAACCTTTTGTCAAATGCAGGTGCCAACAACGCTGCAGCCAACTCATTGTACAAATATCAGCAACATCAGCCGACGATATAAGCGTGTATCTACTCCAAACTTTGTGCGCACTTTTAGCGTGCCGTTTTAACATAGTTCCATATTTATGTTCATCATGGGATGTAATTTTGAATTTTAAGTGATACCAAAATTTTTGCACTTTTAGGCAACAGGAAGCTTAACCTTTCCGAATGGACAGATTTGGACAAAAATTATTTGTGTTGCACACCCAATCACAATGAACCTTGTAAAGTTATTCATTTATTTGATGTATTTACTTAAACGGTACGATATTTAGTATATGTACATATACACTTTTTTCTTTTAGGCTATACACACGAGCATTTCTCACATAATCAACTCGTATAAATAATATTTTTTGATAATCATGCTTACATATCAGCATTTGAAGCGGGCATTCGAATGCCAATCGAAACCGCCAGCTACTTGAAATGGGCCATTTCAATTACGTTTCTCTATTTTTGGCTAAGAAAGCTGTTCCTATTTTCCATTCAGTATTTATCTAATTTAAGACTCTGCCATTCTGGAAACTGGAAACTGCACAAATTATTTTTGTTTAGCTTTTCCTTCCCGTTATTAAGTTTATATATATTTTGTTATTGTGCTATTAATCAGAAATTTTATAGCTTCTGTTTTTATTAGCCAAGCGCAGAAATATTTTTCTGATTTGTCCGTAAAGCGTTTATCACAAATTCCAATTTTTAAGTACGATTTAAAAGTTGAGAATTTATCAATTGGTCTTAAGTTTTGTCACACTGAATTTGTTATATAGTTAATGTTTAGTTTATGTTTTTCATAGATTTAAAGATTTTTTTGTTGAACATTTACATTTATTGTTGAACTTTGTTTTTCTTTCTTGGCCCTCTTTTGGCTCAACTAGTTTTAAAGCTAAGAACTTTGTTCCTATTATTTATGTCTTACATTATTTTTCATGTATTTTGAGAACGAATCTCGATGCTTTGTATGTAATAACAAACCATTACATATTGTACTTAAACAACGCTTTAATTTAATATCAACATTATATTTTGTACACCCGCTTAATGCACATACTATTTCAAACAAATATATATATAGAACAAAACAAATTGTTTTCAAAATTCTACATTTTTTTTTCTCTCTTTCTATTTTTAACTACCTAACCAATGCTTAAGCAACGCGTAACACAGCGCTTCCCATGCTGATACTTGCCATTTAGTCGAATATCAAATATTAAATTCAAACGAATTTAAGCATAAATACAATCAAATAATAAATTACTTAAACGTGCAACTAAAATACTCGAAATACAAATGATGAATGCGCTAATTTCGTGTTTCAAATCGACAAACTAAGGAACTATTTAGGTGTATATTAACTGGTTAAATCAATTTGACAATTGTTAAATGAACGCTATTAGGGCATTAATTTTTTACCACTAGATTATTTTGCCAAATATTATGTTTAATGGATGTAAGAAAGTACATGCTCACACGTTAAGAACCTACAGGGATTTTATGGTAGTCTTTGAATAGCGCAAAATAACCAAATGTTAATATATCTGCCATGCAACTAGTTGAATTTGTTTAGTTTTTTAATGAACCTACACAACAATAAGCAATTTTTAATTGATACAAATCTGAAAGAAACGCGGGTTTTAGGGTAAACTTCGATGCCTCTTAGTATAACGGTTTCTGTTGTATCGCCTAGCTTAATTTCTTTTGCCTAGGAAGACTTGTAAGATATAATTTGGGCGGCAATACTTACATTTAGCTGATGTAAGTCAATAAGTAGTTATTAAATCATTCAAATGCTAGACAATTATCACGCATACGATATGTACTAATTATAACCTATACGCGCCTATGCATAGTTAATGCCTTCAGTAAAATCACTAAAATCACCCACTCAAATGAAAAACAAAATCGCTTTAACGAAAACCACAAATCAAAATGCTTATACACAGATACATACATATTTATTAAACCATATACATGCGTGCATACCAATAAATATCTGTAAATCCAAATGTATCTATATTAAGAAAAAAATTCAGGTGTCATCAGAAAGTATATTAGTGGAATGGATGATGAACATATACACAACCATGTTCGAAATGCATATATTTACCAATCCCATATTTCATAATAAATACAAATAAAAACAAACAAAATAATCAACCAAATTGAATGCGAATGAACATATACATATATACACACGTATACATATAAGGAACCTATACCTTTAACTAGATAATAAATTGTATATATTGAAAGATATTTATACATAAAATGGTGCTTTAGCTGAATTATAATAAAATTATATGTAATTTTAAGACTTATATACCCATATATAAAGAATACAACTTGTTTCTCTTGATTGATTTCTAACCAAAACTGGAAAACAAGTGCTGCGGCTGGCAGAATCTTTTTATTATGACGAATAAATACATAAATTTATAAAATATTTCAAGAAATGTTTTTAACTGCTAATAACAAAAAATAAAAAAAAAAAAGAAGAAGAGAAATACTCAATGCAAATCAACATTTTCGATTATGTAAAACACACAGTCATAGAAATATGTACACTTACACTAGGACATACAGACATGTTTAACTTTTAAATAACTAAAATTTATATACTTTTTACTAACTACATTAAAGGAGAATCAAATACTTTTTAAATGACAAATTTTAAGGCTATTTGAGGGAATCACCCAGCCCCATAATTGGTACTAAAACTCAAAAAAAAAATCATACATATATTTTTACTTTAATGTTTTTAACGCTTTTACGAGCAAACTAAATGGCGTTTTTAATAACAGAACAGCTACAGAAATTTTAAACAATTTTCACAAAGCTTTTTCAAATTGTTTCAATTATCTTTTCTTTCTAATCAATTTTTTTTTTAACAGTACAAGCTCAGAATTGTCAGATAAATGTTGAATACAAATTTAAGAAATGTAATGTATCAATGAATTGAATAGAACGAAATGTAATGGAACCAAAATCGAACGCTTCCCACGCAAAACCGATAATATTAAATTTTAGCAAAGTAAAAAAAAAAAAAATAATAAAAATAAAAATAAAATGCAAAGTTCTACAAACAGTGCACTAAATACTTATAAACAGTTAAGCAAAATATATTTGTATTTACCAAACTAATTAAAACATATGTTAACCTACAACTATTTTTAAGCAATTTCACACTATAACTTTAAAATGCATATTTTTAAAAACATAGCTAAGGTGAACGGCAGTTATATACACTACAGATTACCTACTCGATTATAAACAATATCTATACATGCGCCAATATCTTTACCATGCATTCATTAACTTAACTATGCTAACTATATATTTCTAGCTACATTTATGAAGAATATTTTTAATAAGCATAATATTACAATACAACATTGAGCAACAAAGCGACATGTGAGACACATTTTGGGGGAACATTAGCAAAAAACATTTGCAAATTGAATTTTAAACTAACAATACTTGCACGGCAAAATGTTAAAAACCTAGTTTAAAAAAAGAAAACAAAAAACACGCAATATGAAAGGTTTTTAAAGAGACTATTATACACAGAAAAGAATAATAATGATGAATATTACTAAGCTTTTAAATGCAATAATCAAGTACCATATATATTTTAATATTGGACAACTTAAAGGATAATTAAACGAGGACAAGTTCATATTGTTAAAGTATAGCGAGGTATATGAAGAATTATTCGTGGGGCATTTTAGCTTCGGCTGGCATTGGCTTCACAGATCTATGTCAAGGGAAGCCTTCTCACCCTAATTCTAATTGATTTTCCCACCTTATATAGGAATATAAAGAAAATTACTGCAGTGCCATTTTAAATAGCTTCCGATAAGTAAAATATTAATATACATACATATATAAAATATATATATATATATATAAATATATATATATATACATATTAAAAAATAATATAGATATATATACATGCAACCAATATATTAAATACGTACATACCTAGTATATGCATACATACATACCTAATTATATATTTAATATATTGTTATGAGCTAAAGTTCAAATTGCATTACCGTTATTATGTAAACAAATAAAGCAAATGGAACAAAGTTGAACATATTTTGAGTGCAGACATTTTTGAACTTTTTGATGCTTTTTTTGTATAGCATTTTCAAAATGCATAAAGATCGACTACAGAACATTAATATATATGTATATATGTATGTATGTATGTACCCCATTATTATGTCATATGCGTACATACATATGTATGTATGTATGTAGATCCTGTAATCAAAAGTGGTAAATAAATGAATAAATAAATAAAGAATAGTTAGGTATATTAACGAATTAACGAACCCAATATCTATAAATATCAACTAAAAAGATTTTTAATAAATAAACCTACACGATAAACCACATATATGCGCTTAATTAAGTAAAATTAAATTAATGTATTTATGCTAAACTACACACTAAAAATGAAATTAATTTTAACTAATTGCATATATATATGCAAATTCATAAATACTTATTAAAGAGCTTAAAGGAGGCAGCAAAGTAAAACGAAAAACCCCAATTATTTAAATAATTGTTAATATATATTAACAGGCTTAAATAGCAACCAATTTACTTGTGTATAATAGAAGCATTATACAATATTATATAATGTATGAAATGACATTGAAAAAGCCCAAATAATCGGATAAAAGCACACAATCAGCTGTGAAAATATCTCTACAACTATTTAACTCATAGAAGTGTCAGTATTTACTCAACTCCTTCATTCCATATTATTATTTATTACTGAACAAATACTGTGCAACGGGAATGCATTATACAACTATATACAAACTGCAAATCAAAAGCATACTTAATGTAAAACAATAATCATGACTGCTAACTAAACTGACAAAAATAGTGCATAACGCAAAAGCATGATTAAACATTATATACCCTCAGAGTCGACAATATATAAGCCTGTAAGAAAGGCAAACATAACGCTGAGTATGCAAACTGAACATGTATTGTTTATATCATGAACATGGATAAATAGAAGGAATGGATAATAAAGGACACACAGACCAAAACACAACTGCGTATTTATTGCAATAAACAAACAGTTCAGCATTTCAAATTACACTCCCTGTTGAACAACAACTCAATTCTTAAGTTTATAATTTATATTTTGTTGTGCTTAAATATTTAATAACTATACATCTGTTTGACAAAAATTGTACACAAGTTTCCTGTTTTCCTACATATAACCATACACTTTCGGCCTGGCTAAAAATGCTGACCAACAATTAAATCCGAGATGCCAAGTTCTATTTGTTCAGTCTTCTCTTGGCAAAGATTTGATAAATTCCCAAGCAAGCGGACAGTGTGCCAATGGTGCCCACCTGAAAGGTGGACAACTTGCCACCCCATAGATATCCCTTAGGCAAAGTGCTAACGGCATGCACAAAATCCATAGATATGCGGATTATAGACATCAATTCCAGTCGATGTTTGGCAAGCGACTTTTTATCAATATTAGTAGGACTATAAAAGGATTCGCGTTAGATGTGACTCCGTCAAGGTTAAAGATTTATTTTAACTTACTTGCAAAGCTGATGATTGCGACTAAGTTTCTCCTGGTTTAGCCAGAAGTTGCGAAGTGTGCTACAATAGAATCATAAATAGTTTAGCTTTTACTTAGAGGAACTGTTGCATATATCACACTGACCGCATTAAATTCAAATATACCGAAAGCACCCAGAATATTGAATTTGCATTATCCCAATTGTCTGCATGCTTTATGTTCACAATTTTGTGCTCGGACAGCCAACATATCTTCTCGATTGGATAATACAGCAAATCCACTATATTGGCAGTCACGCCCAGCATTGCCATAACCCGATCCGGCTCATTCTCTCCCAGCCCGTACTGCAGTGCATACTGTATCATGGGTATATCATCAATCAGACGTAGCGTAGCTCTAGCTCCCGATATCTTAGAGCTGGCAATCGCATAACGCTTGGCCAAGTCCGGATTTCGCTTGAGATGGTAACCAGCCACAAGCTTGGCGCTATAGCAAAGCGCTTTCATTACCTGAAAATATAAATATATAGTTATATATATCTTATGCAAACATGTATAAAGATATATCTTGTGTAAAGCTGCATTTGTGCTTATTTACTTGGCCTTACTATTTATTTATTGTTTCCTTTTTCGCGTTGCCCTTTACTGCAATTTGTTAAATTGCTTTGCAGTAATGAAGAGATAAAAAAATATCAGCGATAAAAAGAATACAACGAATGCCACAAACATCTTAACAGCCGTGCTCCACCAAAGTGGTTTGGTGTCGCTTGGGGAATACGTTTATGTGGGCGCTTAACTGGGTTACGCTTTATGTTTATTTTATGGTTTATTTATATCAAATGGTATTTGCGTTTGCTTGTTTACGTCGCGTCAATAAAACATAGTTAAATGTGGTAATTAAAGCAAATACCAATCAATATTATGTAGGGTATATCAAATATCAAATTTCGACGTGCAATATATTCCAATTAATCCAATATTTGCAATATTTTGCCTAAAAACTTACTAACCTTTCTCTCATAGCTTATAATCTTTTTGATTTCTTGCCGGGTTAACGTTCTATACGCCGTAATCTGCAGCATTATCTTGACTTAAACGTAGACTGAAGTCTATCAAACTGATAAAACCGAAGCTATGGCAGAATACATATGAAAGCGCAACAAGAAGTAAGGCAAGGTTCAATAATGCCGCTTCCGACTATGCTCAAGGTGACAAGCAACAACAAAAAACCAAAAACCTGTTAGTGCGGTAGATCGGGCCCATTAGTAAGCCTCACACCTAAGCTGCCACGCTGCATTTTTAAAATAACAACAGAAATGAAATGTTCAAAAGGTGTTCATATACCTTAATTACATTGGCTAAAATATGCTTACCTTATCCCGGCCGCCATAGGAATCTATAATATCACAGAATTCGTTTACAAACTTTGTTGTACTGCTCATATTTGTTTCTGTAAAGGTTTGTGTCCTTATAATAAAATAGAGTAGAAACCTGCCGCGCAAACAACTGCACGACAATACAAAAAAAATTACTATCACTTTTCGAACAGCTGTTATATTGGTTTCGATGCAATGCCCAGGTATCGATTATTTTAGCGGCTATCGTTTGCAACACTAGCAAATAATTTGGCGCTGCACAGCACTGCGCATATACACAGCACGGATGCTTTAGTGAGTTGCAGGACGGGATTAGGATTCGTTTAAGGACCACGAGCGGAAATATGAGTTTGCCGAGTGCTACTAATAATCATGCATCATCACCCATATTCAGCAATAAGTCAGTCATAAAGAAAAGTTCAAAAAGCGATTTAATGCGTGCCGCAGTCGGTTTGCTGCTGAAGCAAAAGAATTATGTTGTATGTAAACGCGCAAAAAATTCAATATTAATTCAATATTAACTTGATATATTTCAAACACATTATAGGGCAACGAGAAGTTTCGCAGATCAGATTTCCTATTAATGCAAAACAAGAGTCAATTTGCGGTCAACAAAATGCTGGACACTGATCTCCATGGAGGCAATAGCTTCACGTATTCAAACGTCCAAGTTATAACAAACAATCAACATATGGTTGATCAGCAGTTTGGACGCTTTTCGCAGTTTGTGGAATTGCAACCGGAGTCATTGCGCATCGAAATGAAACGCTTCTATGCGCCGATGCTGTGCCATTTGTACCTGGAGCTGTTGAAGGCGCGTGAGTCAAAGGGCGCCGTCGAGTTTCTCAAGAAGTATGCGCATCTGGTGGCACCGGTCGACCTGTACGATGCACCACTGCCCACAAAAATCAATGGCTGCTCGGTGACGAATGAGGCTCAGCTATCGGGAGCCTCCGACTGTCATATACGTTTTGCTAGTGAGGCTCAGAATACGGGCGATACAGAACTGGATTACTTTATGAAATTAGTACAAATTCTATCGGGGTGCACAAAGCTGGAAACCGCTGAGTCCGACCCAACTGTAGCGCATTTTCGCGGATCCAAATACGAGATACATACAACGGCCCAGGTGGTGGATAAAATTGGCGCTTATTTGCAGCGACGCGGCCATGTGCTGATCATGAATCTGATCTACACCTGGCTGCATATCCACACTGTGGACAATGATCAGCGTCTTTTTACAGAGGATCATCTGCTGGGAATTACCGAAGAACTTGATGTGATAGACGGTTTTGAGGCTGATGAGGTAACCACATATAGTACAACATGCAACATTCGCAGCGATCACAAGCCCAGCAAGTTTGGCGAAAAGAGCACCAAGAAACGTCCTGCTGAGGAGACAACGATCAAATTGGAGTCTGAAGTGAAAGCAGAAAGACTCTTTATGGAAGCGGATGTGCCAGTGGCTGAGAAGAACAAATTCAACATTGACGCCTGCCTTGATACACTCAAATCCTCCACAGATCAAATACTTAAAGCTCAAGCGGATTTGCCATGTTTCTATAGGGTCTGCGAGCGGACGCGTGGTCTCACCTCTGCCCATTTGGATAACAACGAATGCCACATGCTTGCGGGCTTTGATAACTCTGCCGTTCAGCTGTGGCAGCTGAACCAACATAGCTGTAAGGGTAAGAGTTTTTACAGACGTGCTCCATACTCACAATGCGCCTGGGAGCTAAACAATTGTGCAGACAACGAGCAAGAGGAACTTGATAGCGACGAGGAAACATTAAAATGTAGCGCCGAGGAGCGACGCGAACGCATCAAAGCATTACGCAACAAATATCCGGATAACTCCTTGTAGGTACACAGCAGCTAGCCCCTTATCCAGTTGTTAATGAAATGATTTCTTTACTGCAGCAACGAGTATGGCGGCTTGCAGATGCGTGGCCACACCAAAGGTGTTACCAATGTGCGTTTCTCGGCTCATTATCCGCTCTTCTATAGTGTTTCCAAGGACTGCACATTGCGTTGCTGGCGGGCGCATAATTTGCAATGTGCAGCCATTTATCGCAGTCACAACTATCCCATTTGGTGCGTAGATGAAAGTCCCGTAGGACAGTATGTATGCACCGGCTCCAAGGATTTGAGCGCACGTTTGTGGTCCCTGGAACGGGAGCATGCGCTTATTATATATGCTGGTCATACACAAGACGTTGAGGTTAACGAGATACAATTTATATATATATATATATATAGTGATAAACTAATAATTCTTTTCACATTTTCACAGTGCATTGCTTTTCATCCGAATGGCAATTACCTAGCCACCGGCTCGGCTGATCATTCGGTGCGTTTATGGTGCGCCACCAGCGGTAAACTAATGCGCGTCTTTGCCGATTGCCGACAGGCGGTCACTAGTCTAGCCTTTAGTTCTGATGGTAAAATGCTGGCCGTTGCCGGGGATGAGTCTAAGGTGCGCATATTTGACTTGGCTGCAGGCGCACAGCTGAGCGAGCTTAAGGATCATCCGACCAGCGTTAGCTCCTTGGCTTGGGGTGCACACAATCAGCAACTGGTCACTGCCTGCATCGATGGCAGCCTAAGATTGTGGGACATTAAAAAGCTAACGCCTATGAGGTGAGTTGAAAATAACTTGTAATTTACATGTTTTTAATCAACCATTATAATTCCACAGCGAGAGCAGCACCGGTGGGAGCAGCACCTACTCATCATCATCATCATCATCGTCGTCATCAGCTACAACGAATCGTCTCTTGACTCTAAATAGTTCCTGCCAGCGTCTGGTCGATGTATTTTATGGACGCAGTAAAACGCTCTATTGCATAGGCACTTAAAAAATGTCGCCGTAATTGAGGATAGTTTTTGTTTTTAAAATAATTTATTTGTAATAAGTCTGTATAATAAGTATTACTGTTGCTATCAAATGGAACAATGTGTTTTTTTCTTGCCTTTTTTAATAATTCGTGATGCTTCTGAATGCCAGAAAACTGTATATACTCGTATATTACAAAGTATACATACATAATCATTATTTAGTTGGGCTTTATGTATTGTACAGAGCAACAATATTTGGAGCTTTCTAATGAATTTCATTTAATAAATCTAACAAAATTGTGTGTTTGAAACATTTTAATAATTATAAGCTGTTATTACAGCTGCACATGCTAAAAAATATTATATGCGTGTATGTATATATATATATAAGCATATGTACAATTACGTACTCACAATGATTTTGGACACTCGCACAGCCCATATTGGAACAAAACATAGCTAACTTAAATGATATCGATTTGTGGTCGTACAATCAATTATTTTACAATTTGTATGCACAATCTGCGCTGACTTTATGATAGAAGAAATATATTTTAATGAGCAGTAGTTGGGATGAAATATGCTTTATCCAAACGATAAACTATTCGACTTTAAACTTAAGCTCTATTTATATAAATATGGGCGCAGAGCATGAATAAATAAATTTGTATGTAGTACACACAGTTTTTGCCAAAGTCCAATCTATTGACACACTAATATCTTATCCATTGTTATATGTTAATAGTGGAACATAATGTGTTTGATAGTCCTGACTGTGTTTTAATAAATGTTGGGTGTAATTCATGACAAATGAGTATAGTTTGCATTAGTTGGTAATCGACTTGCTCTAACGCTTGTGACGTCCACGTATCAACTGCAAAGCCTTTGCCATTAACGGTGCCTTCTTGTTACGCATTGGAGCCGCAGCTGCGGATCGATCAACATTATAAATATTAATATATGTTTTGGCCAGATCAGTGATATTTAACTTACCAACTTGTGCCGAGTCGCGCGCCGTGCTGAGCACACGAAGTCTAGCGTCGCCTACCTTGGCCGCATTGGGCGTAACACTAGATAAGGCGGCCACACGTGCCGCAGGCGTGGCAATTAGCTTGCCCTTGGTGCCATATTGCTCCTGCTTGCGCTGTACATTGCGCGGTGGCTTCACCATTGAATCAACAAATGCCAATTGGGTTTTGCGCACGGGAGCTTCGCTTATTTTCTGTGATGCTTTTATACTCTCGGCTATTGTGCTAAGCTTGCGTTCCTTTTCTTCCTCGCATCGCTATAAATGTGCAACAATCATATCCATATTATTATAATTTACTGCTAAGTTATACGTTACCAAAAACATTTCACGCCACGTTTCCATTTCTTCCCTGCGTTGACTACGACAATGCCGCTGTACATGTTGCTGCCACAGCACATCGCTGTCCTCCATTAGATAAGGATTGTACTCTTCGAAGTTCAATAACTGATGTGGTGTAGCGCGCTCCAACACTGGACGCAGCACATCAAAGGGCACACCCCCCGTATATTCCAGGGCTGTGTGGTTCAAATACAAGGTAAATAAATAATAAATTGGAGCTAAATTTTAACAATTTTTCACTACCATCAATATTCTTTTGCAGCACGCGCGTGCAAAGATCAAAGAGCGACGGCACCTGCAGTATTTGTCCAGTTCTGACGCCTGAGTAGATTTTGGTGCTGCAAAACAAAAGGGAGAAATAAGTAAAGTTGTACACAAGGTACGGCTGGGCAAACAACTAACCGCATTGTCTTGGATGATATGCCAGCTGCCAGCGCTTCAGACTCATTAAAATTGCGATGCGTCTTGGGCGCATTGTTGCCGAGACCATGATTGAAGACAACATCCATGACTGTTTGATTCAGCGGCATGGGCTTATAATTGTTCGATATAGTAGGCAGTTCTAATGCTATGCTGGGATCCAGAGGCTCTAGCTTAGCTGTGGGTGCCAGCAGCTCCGGTTTCTAAAATAAATCAAGCAAACATATTTATTCATGGCTAAAAAGAGCCTTTTCTAACTGAGTTGTTTTACCTTTGTGCTTAAGAGTTTGCTGCTACTGGAAGTTGATGTTGTTGATGTTGTTCGTTTGGTTGAACTAGAGGAAGATCCAATTGTTGTTGTAGTTATTGTTGTTGGCTTGTGGGGCGACTTGAGCTTGTTAGTAATCTTTTTGCTACTCATTGGCATGTTGAGCATACCAAGCACATCGTCAAAATTAGCGCCCATGCTGGAGTCAAACTCATCAGCGGTCTCCTTGTGCTCGACTGGATCCGCTTTGGGTTTTACTTTTGCTATTTTGGCCTTTGGCGATTCATCATCTTGTGTACGCTGCGGACTTCGTGATCGCTTGGATGACTTGGTTGACGTTGAGGAAGATTTTTGTTTATCCGACTTTTCTTTGGCCACCTTTTGTTCGCTGTGCTGCGATTTGTCCTGCTCAATAATAAAGATGAGTATGTAATATTTAAATTAATTATTAAATACACTCACTTCTTTGCTTTTTTCATGTCTCGATTTGCTGTGCTCGCTTTTGTGGCTGCTGTGATGCCGTTGCTTGCTGCTGCTGTTGCTGCTGCTGTGATGGTTACCCTCGCTGCTACTTTTATGGTGGTTGCTGCTGGGCTTCGTTACGGACTCCTTCGATTTGCGGTGTTCATTGCTGCTGCTGGTTTTTTGGTCTTTGCGGTGCCTATCGCTGTCGCTGTCCTTCGGTTTTGACTTGTCGTGGCTACTGCTTTTATGTTTCTTGTCGCTCTCCGATCGGCTTTTTGAGTGACTCTTACTGCTGCTGCTGCTCGATTTGCTCTTATGATCGCTGTTCTTGGAACGTTCTTCATGCTTTGATTTGTGCCTGTGACGGGAGTCTTCACCGCCGGAGGAATTGCTGCCTTTGTTCTCTTGATCCTGATCCTCTTCACTCGATCGCCGACCATTCGATCTGTTTGAATCCTCTTCATTTTTGTTAATCTGTGGAGCGGGTTCCTCCTCAGCAGCAACCATAGCCTTCCATTTTGTGACTAGAGTTTTGGCTGCAACGCCGACCTCTCCGTTAATCTTTCGCAGTGCATTGACCGTTTTACCAATGCCTGTTTCCTGAAGATGCTCGAATGTGATGGGCAGGTTAAACAGCTTTGTGATGCAGTGCAACAGCTGCGTGGACAGGTAGTAGCCGAAAAAGCAACACATATGGATTAGATAGGAACTTATTTTAAGGGGTGATTAACAACAATACATATATTGTAAGTCTTAGGAGCAAGGATATATTTACATCTGTATATTTATATACATATGCTTGTTTTCCTTGCATTATACTCAACATCCCCTATACCCAGAGCTCCTAACAAATAATCGTTTTTACCTACAACACTAAGAACATATGTTCTATTGTTAGTAACTATACACATATGAGGAAACACACACACACACACACAGAACGAAGGCACTCCAACTTTACAAACGTAAAATATTTCTCAATTGGTAATCATGAAAAACGTTCCAATTTTAAGATGGGTAGTCCCTTATTAACTTTATGACAATCACATAGAAGGGCGATATGTGAGAGATGTTGTCAATAAAAAATAGAAAGAGGGGTAGAAGTGAGAGAGTAAAAGTAAGACAAATAAAGAGGCAGGATATAACAGTATGAGGGATAGACAGAAATGGAGTGAAAATAACATAAAATGAGGGAAGGGAATAAGAGAGGAAATGGGAGAGAGGCACTGATCAGACTAAGAGATAGAGAGCATCAGTATATTAGCCCTCAAAAGTACAGCTTATAATAAAATTAGATTTATACACAACTCATATACATATGTAAATTAAAAAATGTTGTCTTGCATGATGCATGCTCCACCTCTAATAGAAAATGATCCGTTTTTATTATAGGTGGAAAAATAAGATCTACGTGAGAAATTCTTCTTTATACTTTCTATTAAAACGTATAATTACATAGAGTAGGGACGAGATTAGCATGTACATATATATATTTATAATGTATACAAATAGTTCAAACATGTGCATAAAAATATGTATACATGCACACTTGTGATCTGGCATTTACCAATTGCTTTGTTTTTTTTTTACCAAAGTATGCAAATTACAACTAATTTGCAATTGGAAGTGAAGGTTTTTCACAAATTCTTGAAATATCGTTTTCATGGAGTCCCCATGAAAAACTCCCCTAATGCTGATAGGATAGGCTGGGGAAAACTTACTCGTGTCTCATCTTCGCCATGGCGTTCAATGCTGCGTTGATAGTGGCGAACAACATCTGCCAGATTGCTAGTGGACGTCATCACGTTAGGAAAATGCACTAATCTCGCTTGGTTGTAAGTATTGGGGGCTTGGACTGTAAAAATGGCACGCAGGCAGCCTCACACTTCGACTTTTCAACTGAGTTGTATAAAAATTACGACAATGCGGGGCACAATACGAACACACACACACAAATCTCCTGTGTAGGAGCACTCGTATTTGATGAATTATCTAAAGGACATAGCTGCGTGAACTTTAATAATTATGTTTAATAATTATTTCACTAAACTGTGTGACTTTTCACTTTAAATTCGACGTTAGTCAACACTAGTAAACAGCTGACAGCATCTGTTAAGGTAGCTCTGTTCCAAGCGCACATTAGAGTTGCGTTATGTTGGCTGCGGACTCAGCTGTTTCGGGCAGTTTACGGTTTGATATCGATACATTAGTCAATCGATATTGCATCAACAACACTACATGCCTTGCAGTGTTGGCAACACTGTGCCCATTTTGTTGTGAATTATTGTTAATTTTTTAATTTAATTTGTACAAATTGTGCATACGCGTGCAAAGTCAGCAAAACACTTGCGACTTGAGTCCAGAATGTGCCAGTTTCTATAAACTGCTAAAAACCAATAGAAAAAACGAGCGCGCCCAATCGAAACGTGTTAAAAAATGACCATGGGCGAGCGTGAGCCAACTTCGTCTCTCGTTCTGCCCGTTATACTGAGGCCAATTTTCACACAGGTAAGTTGGTTCACATAGCC